GTCCCGAGCCAGTCGGAAGTATGTAAAGGGAAGAACGGAGGGAGGGAGGAAGGAAGGAAGGAAAGAAGGAAGGAAGGAAGGAAGGAAGGAAGGAAGTAGAGAGAAAAGAAAAGATAGGACTTGTGATTCTCCAATGGTTAAAAGTGAGCTTTGGAGCTGGGCACAGTGGCTCTCACCTGTAATCCCAGCACTTTGGAAGGCCGAGGTGGGCGAATCACCTGAGATCAGGAGTTTGAAACCAGCCTGGCCAACATTGCAAAACCCCATCTCTACTAAAAATACCAAAATTAGCTGGGTGTGGTGGCAGACGCCTGAAATCCCAGCTACTCAGGAGGCTGAGGCATGAGAATCGCTTGAACCCAGAAGGCGGAGGTTGCAGTGAGCCAAGATCTGCAGCCTGGGAGAAAGAGCGAGACTCCGTCTCAGAAAAAAAAGAGTGAGCTTTGGAATCTGACCGATTTGAGTTCAAATCATGCCCTATCCTAACCTCTTACCCACTGTGTGATCTTGGGCAAATTACTAAGCTACTCAGATGCTCAGCTTAATTATGAAAATAACCTATCTGAAAGGGATATTACCAGGGCTAAATGAGTTAAGACACATAAAATGCTTATCACAATGCCTGGCACAAAAGCAAGTGCATAATAGGAGGTAACAATTATTATGGGAGGCTTTATTGATTGAAGATCCAATGAAAAGAGATTTAATTCATTTAATATTCCCTGGCTCTGTTATATTACAATTCTGCACATGTCCTTTCAGACAGAAAGTTTTCGTCTGCATTGATGAGGTAGAGTAAGCTTGGCCTAGATCTATCTTACATCTCTGAAGAGGTGCTATGCAGATAGCAGTAATCTGTCCATATCGATGGAAATGTAAGATAGATTAGGAGACGTTGTCTTTATTTATTTATTTTTTTTTTGAGATGGAGTCTCGCTCTGTCGCCCAGGCTGGAGTGCAGTGGCCGGATCTCAGCTCACTGCAAGCTCCGCCTCCCAGGTTTACGCCATTCTCCTGCCTCAGCCTCCCGAGTAGCTGGGACTACAGGTGCCCGCCACCTCGCCTGACTAGATTTTTGTATTTTTTTTTTTTTTCAGTAGAGACGGGGTTTCACCGTGTTAGCCAGGATGGTCTTGATCTCCTGACCTCGTGATCCGCCTGTCTTGGCCTCCCAAAGTGCTGGGATTACAGGCTTGAGCCACCGCGCCCGGCCAGGAGACATTGTCAAAACAAACTCTGATTCAGTATTAGATTGAATTGGAAAATGTAAATATTTGATAGTAGCCAGGATGCCATGGCTAACAAAAGCAGCCACTTCATGGAAAAATAGCCCCTGACTTTTGTAATTAGAGAAGAAATGGATCCAGGTGCTCCCATTCAAGAAAGAACATCATGTATTTTCCTTCAGGTTTGTATCACAATGATACCACTTGTTAAGTTATATCCATGTGTCTGTGTCCAATTCTTGGTAATCACAATGTCCAAGACAGTGCCTTGTATATAGTAAGTAAGCAAGCTTTTATCCAAACAAGCAAGAAAACAACCAACTAACACTTTACTCAGTGTTCACTTTGTGCCAAATGCTGGAATCAGCAGCACTGGAGAAGACAGAGACACGATGCCTGCTGTCCAGGAGACCATGATCTAGTGGAAGAAATAGATAATAACAATATATCACAATAAACACTTAAAGTAGAGTGTACTGCTAAATGCTGTGAGAGATCCGTATAGGGCTCAGTGAGGACAAAAACAGGAATAGAGATGAAGCCTGAATGAACACTTGTCCTTTTCTTTTTTAGGTGACTTTCTGCAGACTTCGGACTCACCAGTGGTGTTTCATTCTTTTTAATGTCATCCTATTTCATGCCTTGCTTTTTGGGGCTGACTTTGTGGAGGAATACTTTCTGCATTCTTTGCCTTATATAGATATGAAAGTTCTTGAAATTAAGAATAAGGCAAGAAAATTGAACATAGAACCCCTAAGAAGTAATCTCTCCAAATATTATGTCCTGAGCCAGTCGGAAGTATGTAAAGGGAAGAACATTTTTCTGCTGTCTCTTGTCTTCAGTAGCCCAGGAAATGGAACAAGACGGGACCTCATTAGGAAAACTTGGGGCAATGTGACCAGTGTCCAAGGGCATCCCATTCTCACACTGTTTGCTTTGGGAATGCCTGTTTCAGTGACTACCCAGAAAGAGATCAACAAAGAGTCCCGTAAGAATAATGATATAATTGAAGGAATCTTCTTGGACAGTTCTGAGAACCAAACCCTGAAGATCATTGCAATGATACAGTGGGCTGTGGCTTTCTGCCCTAATGCCCTGTTCATTCTCAAGGTAGATGAGGAGATGTTTGTCAATCTACCAAGCTTGGTAGACTATCTTCTCAATCTGAAAGAACCAATAGAAGATATCTATATAGGAAGAGTTATTCATCAGGTTACACCCAATAGAGATCCTCAGAACAGAGACTTTGTCCCTCTTAGTGAGTACCCAGAAAAATACTACCCAGATTACTGCAGTGGCGAGGCCTTTATAATGTCCCAAGATGTGGCTCGAATGATGTATGTGGTTTTCAAAGAAGTACCCATGATGGTGCCAGCTGATGTGTTTGTAGGAATTTGTGCTAAGTCCGTTGGCCTTATACCCATCCACAGCTCAAGGTTTTCTGGGAAAAGGCACATTAGATACAACAGATGTTGCTATAAGTTCATTTTTACATCCTCAGAAATTGCGGATCCTGGAACGCCCCTGGCATGGAAGGAAATTAATGATGGAAAAGAATGTACACTGTTTGAGACATACTATGGGCTCGTTTCCTGCAAACTTCTGACGTACCTTGACAGCTTTAAACATTTTCACATGGAGACCATAAAAAACAATCCCACGTATTTTGGTGATTAGGATTTCTTTAATTTTCCTTACGAGTCGATTATTTTAAAGTTACCGTCTACCCTATTATGGAAAGCATCCCTTCTTTCTGTGTTTTATGTAGGTTCTCTGAATCTTTAATTTTACTTGCAAAGGTACAAAATGTTTTCTGTGCTCTGGTGTACTCAATTACTGAGATCTCATTTTAAGAAATTTAAGTTGGTGTAGCATGATTCTTTTCAAAATAAAATATTTCTTTCAGAAGAGAAAACATTATGTTTCATTGTTTGTTTTGTTTTTTGGGTTTTTTTGTTTTGTTTTTTTGAGACAGGATCTGGCTCTGTCGCCCAGGCTGGAGTGCAGTGGCGCAATGTCGGCTTACTGCAACCTCCACCACCTGGGCTCAAGGGTTCCTCCCACCTCAGCCTTTTGAGTAGTTGAGACTATAGGCGTGAGCCACCATGCCCAGCTAATTTTTTTTGTTTGTTTTTTGAGACAAGAGTCTCACTGTGTCACCCAGGCTGAAGTGCAATGGCACCATCTTAGCTCACTACAACCTCCGACTCCCGATTCAAGCAGTTCTCCTGCCTCAGCCTCCCAAGTAGCTGGGATTACAGGTGCCCGCCACCACGCCTGGCTAATTTTTTGTATTTTTAGTAGAGACAGGGTTTCACCATGTTGGCCAGGCTGGTCTCGAACTCCTG